TAACTGAATTCTAGTAAAATTTTACCCTCTTTTATTAAATGCTAAATTTTAGATTTAATATATGTTTAATTTCTTTATCTCAAAAATAAAAGGCTCATAATGTTACTATTAGTATTAAGGCCTCTCTTAACCCAAGTAACCAGGGCTTTGTGAAATTCACTTGCACCTTTTTAAGGTCATATGTATTTTGATATATATTTTACTTTAGACATGTTTTACTTACAGTGATAACTAATAGATATTCCCATTTTTGTTACCACATCTGTACATTTTGTACGTGGTGGCATTCAAGCAGCGTTTATGTGTGTGCCTAAATGTAAGGTATCGCATGTGAGTATTGGATGGACCGTGTACTTATACTCGTACTCGTACTCGTACTCGTGTTGATGGTCTATTTTTCTTCCTCATTTCTTCTCCAGGCCGTTTCTTGAGTCGCGGTCTTTTGTTGTTGTACATTGCCTGCCGGCAACCGGTCACGTTTACTCCACTGAAAAAAAATTATGTGCTTTCTTTTGTGGCAGCTCTAATTAAAGTTCTCATAGAAGTGAATAATAGTTGTTTCTGAATGTCAAAAAATAAAATTAAATTAACCACATCACAATCATATGGTCTTACAAGATGACAATAATTGTTTAAGTATCTGTCAATATATATTCATTAAATTTAAATTTGGTTATTTTGTGGTACTTAAAAAAATCAAATGGATTTTTTAAACAATGTTATGATTTCATTTAATATTCGTTCCATTTTGTCATAACATTTTTTAGTATGTAGAGCATAGAATATAGTTAAATTTTTTCGGTGTGTGTGCTTGTTGTTTCTGTTGACGCCAGGGAAACTCCCTCCCCAAATCCGCAGCCCCCCTTGCTTAAGTGGCCAAGATAGGTAGGCATTGGATTGGAGCAGCTGTGTGTGCTCTATAACTGTAAAAACACGCTCGCCCACTTCCTTAAGAGCCGGCATTTTGACCAAGGCGTCGTTTTGTTTGATTTTTCTATCCATTCGTTTCGTTTATATTGCCCCGATCGGCTCTCCAACTTCGCATCAAAATCTTTATGGTATTGGAAACGCCCCCCTGTGTGTGTTAATTTTTAATTGTGCTAAATGTGCACATAAATACACAATAACCGCCAGGCAATAGCATTAACAATATACAATCCGCAATTCACAATTTTCAATTTCAACACCCACCCATAATTTGGCTTATTTGTGGCTTTTACCCTGCTTGCTTTTTATTTTGTCCGATATTATTGTCGCTGGCATTGGATCCCCACAGCTGTCTGTGTACGCGTATATATATGCGATTGTGCATGACTTAATAGCTGATAAATGTTATATGGTAGGTCATATACCGACACAGATATGGATGTCTGTATTTGATACTCTGCACACAATGCATTTGTCTAGTGGTCATTGAACATTATGGGGCAAATAAATACTTAGTTGTATCTTAGGGTCACAATATAATTTTATTTATGCAAGTATTCCTTTTCCTTTTGGGGTTAATGTGACTCATATACAAACTGTAATTAATAAGAATTTTTTAAAACAACACATATGTATAAATATGTTTAATAATAAAAAGTTAACATTGATTGTTAATCGTTGTTAAAGTAAACCATAATAAATTTTCAAGTTTAATATAAAATGAAAATTATACGAATGTGCGAAACAAGTGACTACTAAAAATATTTTTAAATCTTGGTACTGGAGCATAACTATCAAATGCCTGCATATATTTTGATCTCCATCAGTCAAAAATATTTCTTATTTTCTGATCAAAACGCTTATTCATCTCCGACAATCGAGCAATGGAAATCATAAAATGTTTATTCTTTAAAAGCATTAATGCGGTTTTATAAGCAACTCAAACTACTGGGAATTGACCTTATGATTAATCATTTGGTTTTTTTTACTAAGCTCCAATGATGTGGATCTTCAAGTGATTTATTTCGCACACGAGCAATAAATATTAAAAATGTTTTAAGTTTATTAATAAATTGTTCTTTCCCTTTTTTTTGTCTTTTCGTGAGCCTACCTCAAGCCAAAAATACAATTCTTTTGATGTTTATGCTTAGAACCAAGCGTTTAGTAAATGTGAATCCATCCCCTAAGAATCATATTTTAAATGATTAATTCATAATCTTTTGCGCAGGCAACGGGTTGTATGAGTAACATAACTTTCGAATTTAGTATTCATTGAAATTTCGATTTGTTTCCCGTGCCATTCTCCGTTTATACATATTTTATTAATCTTTTTACAATAAACATTTTGGCGCAGCCATATTTCTTCAGCGCCAGAAGGTGAAGCGGGTGGTGGTACCCAATTTGGCAACCACGGATGTATGTGGCATGTGGTAAGAGTCTTCTGTTCCTTTCTCTCGTCTGCGAGTGCGGTTGCCACAATTTCGTCTGCTTTTGCTGGGTGAGCAGTGTTTATGTACGGAAGATGCTGGCTCATGATTCTGCGAATGGCGTGAACTTTCCCCCCGCCCCAAAACGTTTTTTTGGCCCTCTCCCCCCCAATTCTCCAACGTCCCGCTGTGATTTTAGATTGCCCCAGTCCAACCGTATGTTTGTGTTAACAGTCAACAGTATTTGCTGCGCGAAACGTGCACATTTCCATGGCGTTTTTACAATCGAATAAAATAATAGAGTTGAAGGCGGGAAAAAATGAATATATAAAAACACTTTGTTTAATTACTATGCAAAGAAAATAGGAATAAAATAATTAGGCAGTGAGTGAGTTGTGTGTAATTTATTTATTTAGTTTAAATACTGAACGATGAGGGTGGTTCTGATTTGTGTAACATTTATCCGTGAGTTGTTCAGGAAATAACATCTTTGTTTATGTGTGGGAATATAAGCAAACTTTTGCTTGTTAAAGTTAAAATTAGAAAAACTAAGAGCTATTGAAAAATTAAGATAAAATATGAATTGATCACAAACATATTCAAAATTACTACACCATTTTATTTAATTTTAAAGTTTATGAAAAAACATTTAATGTATTTATTATATATGCCAAATCTTTTATTTATCTTAACATTTAAATAAATATTTATGCGAGTCTCACCTTTAAACATTTTAAGTTATATAAACTCTAAATGGATTTAAAGATTTGTTGACCATTTTCAATAATTAAACATACCTAATACCATACACAAAAACCCAATAAATAATTTTATAATTGCCCAGATAATACTTCAATACATTTTATAATTTGATTTATATGTTGCCAGATTAACCTACTTTGAAACGCACACATGTGCACATGGATTAAATGTGTGAATTTGAGGCAAGTGTGAGCCTTCTGGTTCATTGCCTACTTTCAGACAGCAGCTGCACAGTGCCGTGAGTTGAGCCTAAAAGTAGGCAATTGTGCAACCTGAGTGCCAAATTAAAGAAGATTAAATTTGGAAAACAAGCAAATAATTCAGCAACTGATTTACGAGCCAACTGGGACTGCTGAACTGCAGTGGCTTGTGTACTTGAATTCCCTGTACTTCGTTTACACACGTGAAAACAGATGGGCACTCATTAAGTGCTTAAAATATGCATGTTTTATTTGTCGGCCAGCTGCTGCGAACTTGTTCAAAGTTGCATTAAACTTCAATCAACAGCACAGATCAACGACAATTCACAGAAACTCCGATACAATCTAATGACTCGCATAAAGTGAGAAATCGGAAGCGAAACAAATTAAAATGCCACCAAAAAGCGAAAAAATATGGTAAAAAACCCCACACACACGACACTCGATCTCCTCAGAACCGCTCATTAGGCGCAAACAAAGAGACAATGTCTGGTCACCGTTTTCGTCAGCGTCATCGTCATCACCACCATCATCCTCATCATCATCGTATTCGCGTTTGATCAGCTCCGTCAAAATCAAATCTGCTCGTAGAACGCTCACCTCTTCAGACAAAGCAGCGCCCAAACACCTGAACTCACTTTGTCACTTTGCTGCGTTTATTGTCTATTGTCGACTTGACACCCGGTAGTTGGGAAAAATCACCAAATGGGGCATATAAGACGGGTACAGTTTTTGCCAGACGAGGGGTAAAACAAACTGATTGAAATCCATATAAGTTTGGGATCTACATAAGCGGTATTTCCATTTAAATATTTCCTGAGATTTTGAAGTAATGGACAGCTATAAAAAGTCAATGAACCTTAAGTAGAATAAGGAATAACAATGAATTTAATTGTATGAAACGGGGAATTGAAGGGAACAGTGGCGTATCCAGGTTTTGGCATCCTACAAATAACAAATGTAGCATACTTATTTAATAAAACATTTTGTATAAGTTTTTACCCGAGTGAGTTTTCGTATATAAATTTATATATTTCCCAAAAAATAGTACCCTCTTTATACACTTTGAAAACATTAAATCTCATTGAACACAAACTACATAATCAAAAGAAGAATTAAGTTTATACAGATCTATTAAATTGAACTTTGTTCTTTTTTTGTACATTAATACCAAATAGATATCTAAATTTATATTGGGTATCTCGTCATCGAATCTTGATAGTTAAGTTCTATTGATGGTGGTGATGTATGCATGCCGTTGTAAACGCTAATTTGTTAAATGAGCTGTTGATGCCCGCTCGCGGTGGCTAATTAGAGCGATTTCCGATGCATAAATTACGAAAGAAACGTTTTGGTCCGTCTGTCTGTCTGTCTGTCTGTCTGGAAAAGGGCTAATTTACATAATACCTGTGCATGTGTGTGCGACTGTTACGCCGCCCACGCAGTCAGCCGGCGATGAACACATATAGCCATAGTGCACATAATACAAGCAAGCGGCTCAAAGCGTGTGGAACGCGATGATGAAGTTAATACGCTAAATTGGTCAAAACAAACGAAACGAGCAAAGTCGAATGTCGAAGCACTCGCTGAGAGAGAGACGGCAGCAGTTTTTCTGAAAGAGACGGCAAGCGAGAGGGTAAGAGTCGCAGAAATTCTAGTGATCCGCGTAATAACTGAAGTTGCCCAGCTCAGTTGCTCAGCGGCAGTTGAAAGCGTCGGTTCGTGGATCAGCGATCGTGGATCGTGAGTTTTGGCCCGCCGCCGCTAGCCAAGGTTAATTAGCCAAGATCCGAGATTCGAGATTTAAGATATAAGATTTAAGATTCGAAATCACTTAGAAAGAGAGAGAGAGAGAGAGAGAGAGAGAGAGATGTCGTTTTTCCGCAACATACGCTCGTCCCTATCCTCATCGTCACGGGCCAAGAGCTCCCGCTCCTCGTCCCGCGACACAACGCCGGTCCGCTCCGGATCTCGTCCAGCCAGCGTGATCAGTGGAGTGGGATCCGTGGGCATTGCCAGCCGCCGGGACTCCACCACCAGTTCGACTTTGCAGCGCGGGGATACCTTCATTCTCCCCAATTCCGAAGAGGAGGCGGGTCCTCCATCGAACACCTCCACGCTGGAGAAGAAGTCCAAAAAGTCCAAGGTCTTTAGCAAGTTCAGCACCTTCACCAAGCGCAAGAAGACCCCATCACCCGAGGAAGTGGCCAGCTATGAGCACCATCCCAGCGATACGGCCACAAACACCTACTACAAGTGGCGCAGCGATGGAGCCGATCGCCTGCAGGACTACGATGCCCAGTCGGATCCCTTCAACTTCCTGTACGAGCAGCACTCCAATTTGAGGAATCTGCAATCGGGTGCAGATACCACGGGTATCCATCGACAGGCCAGCATTGGTTCCAATTCCAGTGGCAGCTTTGATTCATCCACCTATCGGAAGAGCAAAACACCCACGCATTTGCGAGAGCAGCTGGAGCAGCTGAAGACCCACTCGAACGACGATCTTCTGGAGGATCAGCAGCGGGAGGAGGACGAGCGTGAGAAGTACAAGACAGTGACGCTGAATAGCTTTAGGAAATCCTTCAGAGATCGCCTGCTGCAGCAGCAGAAGGAGACGCCCCACAATCCCGCCTGGTTTGTGGAAGTTCCCGCCCCGGTCGCGTCCACGAAACCCTTGGAACGTCGCGAGTCCAAGGAGAATCGTCCGGACTTCCTGGTCTTCGACAATGACAACTACCGTCCCCAGTCGCGTTCCCCGTTGCGGGATCGTCCCTCCCGTTCGGCCACCCGTTCGCCAGTGAAACGGAACGAGACTTTCCGGGTGGCCCAGCCCTCAGTGCGTCACATGTCACCCTCGCCGGCTCCCCCATCTGCTCCCTCCATACGCATCGAGATCAAGAACTCCATATCGCCACACTCACCGGGTAGATTGGTGCCTGTGGGCGTGGCCAAGCCCATGCCCACCACGGAGTACTATGCCCAAAGACTGCTGGCCAACAGAAGCACAGGCTTGCGGAGTTCCAGTCCAAGCCAAGGTCCGAGTTCCCGGTGGTACCGCCAGCCAGGCTCACCCACCAGGTTAAGTGTGGGTCAGCAGCAGCAGCAGCAGCAGCAGCAGAACAGTCACTTTAGCCCTCACTTTAAGCAGCAGCAAAACCCCCCAGCCTAATCCTTACCAGCAGCAGCAAAAGGGTGGTCGCACCCTGGTGCACATAGGCTCGGAACAGAGTAAGTCAGTGACGCCGCCAACCCGAGGAAGGGCACCCACAAGGGTCCAGTTGTATGGCAGTAAACCCCAGAGTCGACCGCAGCCAACGACCTACTTTGGCGGCCACTACAATGCACCTGTTAAGTCCATGCCCCGGGCATCTGCATCTTCCATCGGCATTCCCACTGTCTATTTGGGGCGTCGCGAACCAGCGATGACTCGTGCCACCACCAACACCACCGCCCACATTGCCGCCCCCGTGCCACGTCGCAACCGATCGCCGATCAAAATGCCCTGGCGGTAGGCGGTAGGCGTTAACCGAATGTATACACACATCATATGCTATATATCGCAAATGGAGAGTGGAGAATGGAGAATCAAGAATGAGTGTGGCTCACATATATAGCAGGTCTTTCCAAAGTGACAAAGTCGATGATATTGCGTCATTATCAGAGCTGAGAGCGCAGCTTAGCGAACGCTTTTTTTGCCCATCGATAATGGGCAAATAAATGATTTATGTATCCATACATGTCGTATCGTGTGTTGTGAATTTTTTGTACGTAAAATTATTGTTAAGTAAATAATAAAAAAAAAAAAAAATACGACAACAGATAATGCAAAATGTGAGACCCCGGGGGGAATTTCGTACATTTTAATGGCTTTAGCGAACCCGAAAAAGCACTCGGTACTTCTAGTATAGAGTGTTAATTGTCAGTTTTGAGTTGTCCCCAAAAAGAGTGCCCCGAACTTGTTAGATGCTTTATGTGTGCTCTAAAAAATGTAGTTAGTTCAACGGATGGATATATGAGTCCGTATGACTAACTGTGCATGAAAATGAGCGAGCGTCAGTTACGTGACAAGCATTAAATATGGTCACTCAATCGGTCCGTTTGATGGGGAGGGTGCGGAGAATTTCTAGTTAGAAAGCAGCTGATGAGCTTTTGGCCATATTTGGTTTGGAAAAAATGTATTCGTACCCGCACGCAAATTATGGAATAAATTGTCTTGCCCCAAGCCAAAACGCAAGGCAGTGGTGATGTCAACCGTCGTTCTATGCGCTTTTCAAGAGGTTCACATCGTAGATAGAACAGGTTAAAAAGATTCTACCCATATTAACTTAGAAAAAGTCAGTTTACAACTTCTAGACTTTTCAGTGAATGTTTTGCATGTAAATAGCCTTTCTTTGCGCTTCTCAAAAAGATGACCTAAGGCATGCAGCAATAGAAGTTTGTAGATCTTTCTTTTCAAATTTCTTTTCAAACAATATTATAAACCTTTTTACTTAACTAAAAGCACAATCACATTAACTACTTAACAAGAAACCTACGTCTTCCAAATATAGATTGTTTTGATGACACGACAAATTTCGCTTGTCATTAAGTAAACAACGTCTGTTCTTTTAGCTTTACTTTTTACTAAACTTGGCTTAAGTACGCAATAGTATAATTCAGATGGCAAAATACATTAGAATCTTTTATTTTAGTGTGTCATCTTATATATAAATTTTCTGGGTTTTTTTGTGATGCTGATTCTATGAAATGGCTACCACATTAACTCGAATTTCGCTGCCCGCATCCGTCTTTTGGTGGTCCGCTAATTAGTGGATCATTGCCCTAGTCTAACTTCGGCTTAACTCTCCGCACATTTCACTTTCTAATCTGGCAGCAACGAGGCCAACAAAAGACTCGTCTCAGGCCAAAAACTCTTTACGAGGCAAGATCGTGGAGACTTCTTTGGTCAGTGCAACTACACAGCTTTAGTGTGTGCTCAACTTTACGCATGATCTTGAACTACATAAGTCGCAGCTGGCGACGCACAGTTTGTCTGGCCAGATTTTGTGTTGCGTTAATGTGAACTAGAGTGTGAAAATCACTAAGTTTGCAATGTAAGCTAATACGCAGATTAACCTTGCCTATATGGCTGGGATCTGGGCGCTAATTTGCGTGGGTCTACGAAACAGGTTGAAATCAGACTTTGAATCATCATCATCATTGCCAGTAAACAGCATGGGGCTAATTCGTGATCGTTGGGTCGGAGGTTCCCCAGAAACTTAACTTGTTCCGTCTGTGAAATTGCTAATTTTTGTTGTATTTTCGGTACTTTACTTAAGTGTGTCGGTTTTTTCGGGTCTCTCCTTTTTATTTGGGTTGTGTTTTGCAATAAACAAACACTTACTGTTCTGTTGCTTGCGCTTTGTAAGATACGAGAGTGTATTTTTTTATACTACGCATAGATTCATTTCCAAGTAACCGAAGACCGGTTTTAGTTTTTTTTTCTGATTTTGCCGCCAACTGAGACGACGACCTACGGATTTTAATACCCTCGCTTTTTTTTTAGTCAGGCTTGGATTGGATTGTTTTGCCATAAAAAAGGTGATAACTGGGAAAAACATGTAAATATAAAAAAAAACTGTCTTAATGGTTTTGTTTAACAGTATTTACAGTATATATATATACAGTATTTATATATATTTTGAATATGGAAGCAAATGATACAAGTCAGAGTTTATTTAGTTAACCAAAATCTTTTAAAACATAAATAAATTACAATTCATATTTTTTTTTAATTGGAAGGCGTAAATTTTTTACTGATAGTTTTACATTCATATGACAAAATAATTTAAAGACATTTATGTCAAGAAAATTGGTCAACAATGCGTATGAGAGATTATTTTTAAAATAACATAAAATATGTATAGTGCGTATTTTATTTATATGCATTTATGTTTTAGAATATGTCCTTTAAGCAACTTTAAATCAAAAGCTCAACAAGTACCTCCCTTAAACTGCTGGGGTAATAACATTTTGTATTTAAGTGTCTTTCAAACCCGAGGTACTTTGTGGTCGAGTTGTGTTTTGTGTTACTCTAATTTAAATGCAGACAAACAGTCAACAGCCGGTGGCATAGCGTCATTGTTTGAAAATGTAGTGGCTGAACAAACTTTTATTCAGATATGTATATTTTTTCGATATTTTGATATAAATTTCGCTCGGCTGTGCCAGAATCTTAGCACCGAGTGGGAGTCCCCACAACTGAGTGGGCTAAGGCAGAACTGGACTGGCCACCATTAGAGCAAGATTTGTCTGCGCTAAATTTGACTAGACCCCGGAGCCAAAGAAGGCAATTACAGCATAATTTTTCTCATATCGCGAAACGAACTCGGCTCATGTTTATTTATGCTAGAGATTATGATAATTAAAATGAAATTGGTTCACAGTTGGCAAGATGGCACATGACATCATGGATTCAGATGAGAAATTGGAGGAGGAATACAAATTGGATGATAATCTAAGCATTACATTAAATCCGATTGGGTGAAATGTGTTTAATATCAAATTACAGCCACAGCGGTTTGTGAAACTTTCGCCATCATGGATGGATTTATTGACATGCCCATTCGTTTAATTGGAGACACATTAATCTTTGAACAGAGCAAAAATAAAAAAAAAGAAAGAACCATCAAAGTCGGAAAGACAAAGCGGAAGACAAAGCGGCGACCCGTCTAAGTGGAAATCAAACATTTGCCCAACAGCGGGCCAAGTTGCAACTTAATGCCAATAATATCCGCGCGTCAGGCGCAAATGTTTGCCCTGTCGTCTGTCGTGCCCTCGTACTTGTATTCGAACTCCTCCGTCCTTATCCCCCTGTCATTGTCTCTCCGGCATTTTATTCCGCCGCTTTGAACTGGGTCAGCATCGATTTTTGGCCAGCGACGTGTCACAATTATCGCTGCGACGGATTCGATGGCACCCAAATGGCTGCCCTGTTCAAAAAATAAATCCTGGAAAAATTTACGTTTTTTTGCTACCCGAATATTAGATACCTGGTCTTGGGAAGATTTCATTTGGATTAAAACGTTTGAATGATCATGACATCATATAAATATTATTAACAAATATTTTTTCCTACATTCAATTTATTGCTGGTAAATGTATTATTAATTCTTCTAAAATATAGTTTATTTGGTTTTTTGGGTGTTCTCTGATGGTACTTTTAAAACATTTTGTACAATTAAATTGCGATATTATTATTAAACTGGAAAAGAAGATCACCTTATGTGCTACTGTTTGCGATTATATATTTTAGAAGGCCGATATAACTTCCTTTTCCCACTGTTACATAAGCACCCATGAATACAATATACCTTCGAACTATGAGTGTAATAAAAACCAAACCGAGTGCACTGAGGGCATCGCCGGCCATCCTGAATATTAATGTTCTGGGTCAAAGCTATGAAAAGTCAAGTTTCGTGTTTATTGGCAAGCGTTAGGGATTACATATAGCCGGCCGGAAAAGAAGCAAAACAATTTTTACTGCAGTCCTCGAAAAGCGGCACAGAGACAAAGGCAAGTTGCCCAAAAATGGAAGCGTGCCAAGTGCAATATCTGTGCTTTGCTCCCTCTGTTTTATTTGTTGGCTTGGCTCAGCGTGTATTTTTGGAACAAGTGCAACATCCATGGCGGTAACTGCAACATCCAATCCACGGCAGCAACTGCAACTGCCACAACCATATTCATACCCATATCCCATTTCCCATTTCCCCCTCGTTTAGGCTTGACTTTTGGCATGTGGCATGGGTTGTAGTGCCTCCGTTTTCTTTGGCTACCAGGCAGCCATTTGCATCCGTAGTCCGGCCATTTCAGATATGGCCAGAAGTACATGGAATTGTTTGGCGCAATGGCGCGTAAATGAGCAGGGCGCAAATTAAGTTGTACCATCGTAAATCGGTTTTGTCTGGGCGCCTTGTTTTTCATTTACAATTTTAACATGGTTTTTAAATGTATTAAAAAAAGGGAAGTTTTTGCCAGTAAGTAATGCTTGCTGTTGTTGCCCGCGGAATAATGGACTTGGAAAGTAAAACGTAATAATTATCTTAATGCATTTGAATTAGTTTTTTTCCTTTGTACTTTGAAGCAATTCTTCGTTATAATTGTAAATAGGAGCTGTTGCTTTTCTTCTAGCAAGGACTTGAAAAATAATTTTACTTATAAATACATAAATGTAAGTTATTACTTAAAAATGAGCTGGTGTTCAGATTGTTCTTTTTATTTTTTAGAATTGCAAGTTATGGTAAAAAAAAAATTAATCAATTATGTTGTTTTCTATTATTTTCATAAATTAGTTAAAACTGAGAAGCCTTAAAAGTAAAGGGCTGTTTATCGAATAAAATTTGTATTTACGTAGTTAACAAGAGAAAGAGATTTATTTCTTCCCAACATTATGGTTTAAATTTACTTTATTTCTGTTATGTTTAAATATGGTTGTCAATATTTATTAACTTACTATTTATTTTTAACTGTTTTCCAGGGTGCCATTATAAGAGAGGTCGAAGATGGAGTTCGTTGCGAGCAATGTAAATCAGATTGTCCAGGATTTGCAGCTCACGATTGGAGGTAAGGCAGTTAATGCTTTAATTCATTATTGGAAAATAAAAATTACCAAAGAACACAGAACAATAGCATAAATATTAAAAATATTTATCTTTTAATGATCTTCGGTATAAGTTTAGAGCTGTGCCAACATTTAAGGCCTTTACTGTAAAGCTTTCTCAAAAAGCTTTTCCTTTTGGTGTAGTACTAGAGTACAGCCGCTAGATGGAGCGTCGTA